TTTACACTTCTGTTTTGATTTGCGTATTGCAATTTGAAGGAAATTATTTTAATGTGTCAAACTCTTAGACCAAACGCACATTTTCTAAAATGTTAAGTCCTTGATAAAAACAAATTTAAAAAATCGAAGAATTTCTTTTTAAGATGCAAAATATAATTTGTTTAATGCTGCAGCAATTATACAGATAGGAAATTGTTCCTTTCTTAGAGGTGTCAGTCCCTGAAAATTCTACTACTAATACTTTATTTGTAGCCATGAAATTTAGAACAATCTTAGACTGTCTTTTGGTATGTTTGACTAATCAAATGCAGTAGTTGATAAATGTTCAAATCCTCACTTCACTTTGAGTCTACTTAATGCTAATTAAAAAGAATCATGACAAATGGAGGATTAGTTCTTGTGCCAGATTGGGGATTATTGGTCTTTAAAAGAAAGAGCTTGGAAAGGTTCACTGTTTAATAAATATGTGACATACTGAAGTACCTTAGTCCATATGATACTGATTACAGTATAAGTGTTTCTTTAAGATGGCATACATCTTTCCATTAAGAGTGCTGGATTTACAGAATCTGCCAATAACCATTCCAGCATTTTGTTTTAAACTCTGGAAAACTGATAGGGGGAATTCCACGTCACAGGTTCTGCATGGTCAAACTCTGCAGATCTTGTTGCAGCACTGAAATTTTTGTCTTTTCCTTTTGTTTTAAGGTGGAAGGAGAAAGGAGATTGAGTTCACTTTTGTATCAAGCTTGTTCTTAAAAATCTTACTGTTGTGATGCAAAGAACCGAAATGTAACTCTTGAACGTTATTTTTCTATCTTTGTTAACAAAATTATAACAACTATTTTAGTATGCTTCATAGATTTCAAAATAATCTCAAATCTTGTAATTAAAAATAGGTTTCTCATGACTATTCTTAGTGGACTTAAAATTAATGATTGAACAGATTTGTACTCTGCAGTCTGCAGTTTTTTTAGTATCTTGCAATAGGTCCCTTATAAATGAGCTTATATTTTGAAATGTGAGATTTTTACTAGACAAAGCCCTGAAATATAATAAAACATATGAAGTGGCCTGGTTTTCTTATATCAGCTGATACTAAGGTAGTAAATCGGATGTATAAAATAAATGCTAGGTAAAGCTTCTGTAGAATTGGTGGGAGTCTGCCTTTCCTTACAAAATAAGTAGGTTTGGTCTGGTAAAGCGGCTGTTAGTGTTGGCAGTGGTTCTGTGCAGTCAAACATTTTGTTTAATTTGATGGAAATAAAGAAAAATTGATGCTGTGTGTGTAAGTTGTCATTAGTTACGCCACTTTCCTCAGGATGCTCAGTAAGCATACCGAGCGTGAGCCCCAGCTCACTGAGGAGGAAGCTGATGCACGCAGGGAGCTAGATAGGGGCTCAGGGACAATGTAAATCAGAATAAGAATTAGAAGTTTACAGCACACAAAATGGTCCATGTCCTGGTTTTAGTGCAAGCTTTTTCATATATGTTTTTCTTAAAGCATTGACTACTGGAGTCATATTGAATTTCAGTTTTTATTAAAAAAAAAAAAAGAAACCTAACTGATAGTCTTCATGATTAAAAGAAAAGCTAGAAAGTCAGATGAGCGAGTAGTCTGAATACAGATAAAAGCAATAGTGGTTTGTTTTCATGTCTTTATTTTTCAGTCTGTCTTACCACTCCTAGGAATCACAGATATGAATACTTCAGATCTACTGAACACCTATGTGTATGTCTCTTGGCAATGCATTCAGAATATGTGTGTTATAATTTTATTTATGTGATTGGAAAATGTTAGTAATTACTTAGCCCCCCCCCCCCCCATTTTCTTCTTCTCACTGGTTTTAAAGAGACTTTCAAAAATTCTATGCTACTATACAACATTTTGTTCATTCTTTGAATGTCAGCACTGTTTTGAGTGTTTGAGCCTCTTTTTTGTAAACTAAGAGTTCCTCTGTAAATAAACTGACTTATCCTGGCATTTCTGAAGGTTTATTTGAGGGTGAAGAAAGTGCAGATTTCAAGCCCAGATGCTGCTTCATTTTTGATGATAAGGAAGGTGGATAAAAAAGGAAGTTTTAAATTCTACTTTTCTCAAATAAGAAACAAAAAATGTAATTTTAAAGAAATATTGTGGGATTTGGTGCAGTTTAGAAGCAAATAAATCTTGTCAAATGTATATGTAATTCATTTTACTCCTAAGTGCTACATCAGAACATGTTAATTATGTTTAATCCTTTTATCCTCGTTATTTGCATTAGATGATGTGCTTGTTATAGGTAAAAAACAGTTTATATTTGTGACTAGAAGTAGTTGTAGCTTTTAATAAATTCATGTCTTGAGGTTACAGTGATTTACATTATTTGGGAGTGGTTAAGACATAAAGCAACCGTGGAGAAAATGTGTTTCTGGATTCTTTTGGAGGACTTAGTTGCATGCAATTGAAGGAGTTGCATTAGAAATGAAAAAGGAGGGTGACTTATGTATACTGTTCCTGTTTGCCATTACAAATTAAGTTGTCAGATGCATTGCTTGATTTTATATATTAAACAGATGATTTCAGTTCTCAAGCAGTTTAGTTTTTATCTGTTCAGTCTCTTGATTGTTTTTTCTTTAAATTTTGAAAATAACAGCTGAATTTTTAATCCAAAAGCTACATTTTAAAGCAGATAGTCTGTCACCTGCAAAAAAGCTTCTGTTTTCGTAAGCTGTAATTGCATGATACACATGGCTGTGCACGCTGTTATCCCCGCTTTCCCTTCTTTCATGTTTCGGGCTCAGTGGGCAGGTCACTGGGCTGTGTATAATGTCAGCCTTGGGTAGTGAGTTTAACACTGCCCTGGCGTTCCCACCATTGCAAGGGTAGTGACCTGCTTTACGAAACGCTTTGAGACCTCTTCATAAAATGTGATAGAGAGCAATGGTTTTTGGTTGTTTTGTTCCGTTTTGTTTTTTTGTTTCGTAATAGTAGCAATATGATAAGCATGTGGGATTATTCTTTTTAGATTTAAACAAATAAGTTTAATTACACTGTTATCTTTATTTTAAAAACTTAAAAATAAAATAAACACTGTGTATTATTGTTATAGTGATAAATGTGGTCAGCAGTTAAAATTTCCAGAGTCAGTTATGGCTTTTAGCCAAATGTCTCTCAGTAAAAGTAGAGTGATGAATGTAACTTCACAGGTTGCAGTTTGACAAAGAAGCAGTGGAAAACAAAATGACTGTGGGTAAACCCACCATGCTGCCTGTGTCCTAATTTGTCTCTTAATCGTTCTGATGAGTTTTCCCTCTGCCTGGGCCTTGCGTTTAAACAGAACAGTGAAATATTTTTTCCTCACTTGAGTCATTTTCACTGAATTTTCATCGATTATATGTTTGTGTGGGAGGTGAAGGGGATGAACTCAAAGGAAAGAATAAACCTACAGTTAGTGTTAAAAGCCTTTCTAGCTATACTGTTTTGGTAGCTTGAACTAGTTTACTTAAATGCTACACTCTCCTCTTCTTCTGGAAGCAATAAATTTGTTCAAATGATGATCAAAGGATAAGAAATTACTTAAGAGAATAGTTATGTTTAAAATACTGTAAAAATACAAGAACTCTTTTGGGGTATATGTGACTGTGATCTTAGGTATATCATGAAGAAACTTAATTTCAGAGCTATCTAAAAGTCAAAGATTAAAATGGTTTAAGGTTTTGTTGAAGAGTTATCTGTTCCTGTGCTGTCAAGGCTTCCATAAGGTGATACCCAACTGTATAACCTCTTTATAAGATATGAAATGGGATGAGAGCTATGAGGGGAATAAGCAGTGGGACTTTATTAATGGAAAAGTGTGCTTTTTAAATTTTTTTCATTAATACTATCTCATGGAGAAATGGCATATAAGTGTGTGTGTACACACAGACACATCACGCACACCAGACCGTCTGTCTTCTCGCGTCTTGACTACAGTGGTTGTGATCACCCAGGAGAACAGGGGTTATAGGCAAGGGAGGAGGCTGATGGCGTTTGTTCTTTGAGGCATGTTATGCTGGAATTTGGTTTTACTTTCATTCTGTCAGATTCCTGATCTGATGACTTTCAGGCTGGCTGAGGTGTAGTGCTGTTTGCTCCAAAGTCTGTCAGGCTGCTGGGAAGATGTCCATTGTTTTGAATTACGCCTCAAGTGTATCTTGATTCACAACTCCTAGAGGTCTGAAAACAGCTTTTAGAGAACTGTAACCAACATACTTCAGAAACTGGAATACTGGATTGAAGTACAGAATAATCAACTATTAAAATTCTGTGTATCTTTTCTCCTGGTGGTCTGTAACAACTTTTATGGAGTTCAAAATTTAAATACATTATAATTCTTATAACTCATTTTTATATTGTTTATGTTGAAATACATTTTCCACCTACATATCAACGTACTGCTCAGTTTTGCCATTGAAATGACTATTTTGTATTCCCTTTACATTGAAGAGCCTACATTGTGCTCCAAGAATGATGAGAAACTTGTTTATGAAATTGGTGTGTATTCAACATTAATTAAAGATGGCATTCAGCACTCCAACAAGAGTCTTTAAAAATGGCTGAAAGCCATATTATACATTGGCAACCAAGATGCATCTGTGAGATTCTCTAAGACTCAGTCACCATCTCTCCTCTGTAGTCATGGATCTTGTGAATGATGAGGTGGGGGTCTTCGGAATGGCTGAAGATTAGCATCCCCTGCTGTTTTGTAATTATCAGAATCTGGACAGTCATTTATTTGAATGAAATAATGCATACAGTTTGTGCCTCCAAAGAAAAGCATACATAATGTGATTGTAAGAAGAGGTTTTCAATCTCTCAGTGGGATGTCATAGGGTATGTTTATAAACTTCAACCTAGCAGTTGCTCTGCAGTGGAATTCCACTGGTATTGAGATAATAATTTGCACAGTCAAATTGCTTTCTTTACAAAAACCCAGGGAATTATGAGACCCTAATCCTTTATTAATGTCAACCCATAGGCAGCAAGAAAGCGTAAGATTGCCATTCGAAAAGCCCAGGGGAAAAATCTTGAGGCCATCCGAGAGCTGAATGAGTATCTGGAACAGTGAGTGTCTTACAAGAATACGGATTGTGTTTTGCTATTCTGATAAATCTTTTTAATTAAAATGGAATTTGCATTTGATTTACGCTTTTGCTTCCATGCTGGTCATTTACAGAATCCCTTGCACATTCTTTCTTTTTTTCCTTTTTTCCTCTCTTGTCTTCTCTATACAGATTTGTTGGAGACCAAGAAGCTTGGCATGAACTTGCAGAACTTTACATCAATGAACATGAGTAAGTTGTTTTGCTAAGTCCACATAAAAACTGTTAAATTGAAACCTACTCTGTGTAAGTCAAAGACCTCAGCAATTTTTTTTGAAGGACTAGTGTTAGAAAGTATGCTGTCTCATTTCCAATATAACAAGCATCAACAGGAAGTAATTACCAACCTTATTTGACTACCAAATGCTTTAAGAAGGCATTTGATTTTAAAACAGAATCAGTTTACTTAATTATCTGTATGTTTCAGTCATTTTTTAAAATCCGATATTTTAAAATAAGTGGTTTGAGTGTAGCAGGGAACAGCACTTATTTCCCATAATTTTTCATTCAAGTGATGTTTTTTACTAGTTATAGATTTTAAATTCTTTACTTCTAAAATCAGTTGATCATGGCAAATGATACTCTGATTTTCTTTTAGCCTACCTCTGCAAGAACTTTTAGTAACCTTTAAAAAAAAAAAACAAAGCAAAACATGGATCCAGAGTTAGAAGCATCTGGTCGCCTGGGTACAAACCCAATGCAATCAAGAATGCTGAATGTTGTAGTAACTTGCTTATTGGATATTTAATGTTTTTGTTAGCTTTTTTTTATTGCTGTAGTGACAGGAGGAAATCCCAGTGTGAGAGGATTAGCTCAAAGCTTTAGTGCAAGTTTTCTAATATCACAGCATTAATTCTAACCTCCACCCAAAGGCGTATCTTTTTTTTCCCCCCTTCTTTAGTTCTTCAGCCCAGCCTGAATTATATCACATTGTTTCCTTCCTTCCTTTCTAGAGAGTAGTAAAAGAACCAAATTCTCAAGGAAGAAATAGCCATTCTCACTGTGATGAAAAAATTGTTCCCCATCACCTCTCCTTCCACTCCATTCTCAAAGAAAATAATTATTAAACTCTTTGAACTGCTGACTTAAGGAATAATCTAGAATTTTGATATCCAGATTTCCATTTGTTTTGGGAAATTCACCAGCCACTTCTCCAAGAAAATAGCTTTTTTTTTTTTTCCAAAATGGTTAGAAAGATGTTTAAGCTTGTCAGATCTGTCGGTACAAAAGTGAATGATAGAGTGGTGCAAACATATGTGTTCCGCTACTGTTGTGGTTTTTTTTTCTATAATCCTTATTACAAAATTGTGTAATAAAACCTGAGAAAGAAATTGCTTTTGCTTGTATTTGTCTTGGTCTGTAATTCCAGTAAAAAATAATATGTAGAACTTTCTCCAGTTCATTGAAAAAATTGACTGTGCTCACTGTACTTTTATGAGTATCAGTGTTATTTTGATGATTAAATGTGGAAAAAATTTGGATCCTGGCTAAAAAGCAACTAAAAGTTAATTTTAAAAAAAGGAAACAATTCATCAGCTTACTTGTTTTATCAGTGTCACAAATTTAGTCTCGCTTGTGAAATCACCATGCTGTTACCATTGTTCATAAACACACTTAGATGTACAAGGCTTATATAGTTCTCAATTCTGCGCTGTGTTCTGTTATGAGGACTGTGGCTTCTGCTTTTGGAGAATGAGGTGGCTATCTTTTTACCTCCAAATTAATATTTGATATGCGACTATCATAACGTACACAGGAGAAAACCACAGTATGTTCATTTTAAGAAATAAGATTTTACAGATTATATGGTTTAGTATTCTCTCATAATTGCTAAATTGCTTTTGCTGTGATATTAAATATGTACCCACACTGTCATTATAAACATTGCGTCTCTGAATTTTGGAATCCTATCATGTAAACTTTGTACAACAGTGCTATCACGTATCTGTAGAAGATGCAAATTCTGCAGGAAACTATTAGTTGAAAGATTATGAAGCTAAGATTTTTATAATTAAATAAACCTACATTTTGAGCTCGACTTCTTAATTATTTCTGAAACTTTTATTTAAAGAACAAGTACTAGCCTTTTCTTTTGCAATGATAAGTTGTTGCCCATTTGTCTGGTATGATGCTATTTTCATATATAGGTTTGAATTGTTTGATTTTTAGAACTGTTCTTAGTATGGTTTTTCGATCTTCTGTGGTTGACTGTGAGCGGGTAAAGTTAACTGACAATGTAAGTGCTCTGGTCTGTAGCTTAGTTTGTGAATCCTCAGGTAGCTGAATTTTCTTGTAGAAAAAAATGAACTGTTTAGTAGTCTGAGTCCCAGTGTCTTATAGTACCTAATGCCTGTTTCTACTCATCACTCTTGTTAATCAGAAATGGCACTTATTAATAAAAAATGAGTATATTAAATGCTTTCCATGAGCTGTTCCATATATACTTAGACTATTAAATTTTGTATATTCTTCACTGATATGGTGTAAAAATAGTAACTCGAGGTTTCAAACATCATTTAAAAATAAAATTTTTTTAAATTGTGAATCACGTGAAGTTATAGGGGGGAAAAGTAAGACTTCTTTTATTCTGCTGTAAAGAAACTGAAGCAAAGAACTGTATACTCTGTTTCATTTTGTCACTGTTTTTTGTATTCCTCAGCTATGCAAAGGCAGCCTTCTGCTTAGAGGAGCTTATGATGACTAACCCACACAACCACTTGTACTGTCAGCAATATGCTGAAGTAAGTATTTTCAGAAAAATCAATTATGTTTGAATACATATTCTGTTTTTATGTTACTGAAGTGGTGAAAATGGAATAAAAATGGTTTCTTTATTTTTTCCCAATAGAGTGCACAGAGAATGTTAACATCTCATAGAACTTAACGTTAAGAAAACTGTTTTCTTACTCAGTGTGACTAAGCTAAATATAAGAGTAAAGGCAGGAATTATTGAAGGTAAAGATTCGTTTTAAATGAGCTATTCTTGTTGAAGTGTTTATGCACTTTTCTAATTAAGTGCATGAGAAGTTAAACTTTTCCTCAGCAATGCTGCCTAGGAGGTTATGATCTATTGCCTGGTATTGTGGAGCCAGATCTTGTAGGAAATTTTGCCTGAAAGAGCACTGGGGGGAGAGAAGACCCTTCGTTTTAGCTCAAGGTTTTTAGCCATTTGCACTCATTTTTTCAGCTATAGATTTTTTTTTTCCTAAATTATGCTGTTAACTGCTTCAAATGGATTTAATTTGTTTTGTTAAATTGGGTTAACATTAAAACTTGAAAGTCTAAGTAGCTTTCTGGTAGAAAGACTGTGAAGCATGTCTTCTAGTATTTATCCCTCTCTTTGTTGATCTAATAAGAGGCAAAATGAATAGACAGTGGAGTAATCTTCTAAACTTTGTGCGCTATTTTGCAGTTGAATAGATAATGAAAGGCATTGTGTTGTTTTGTGTACTGGTGTAATGCTGTGCTGAAGGAATACAGAGTTAGTATGGATTTATAGCAGTCAGAATTTAGCTTTAGATTTAAAGTTTGTGTTACTTTTCATAAGAGACTATCCCAAGGTTGGAAGTATGTCTATGTGCAAAATAATCACTTTTTATTCTTGTAGCAATAAATTCATTAAATTACTGCTGGCTTTTTTCTCCTATAGTTAAATATTTTAAAATTTGTGTACTGAAAAGAGCTCAGATTTCTCCCAAGCCAGTGTTTGGCCTTTCGTAGGACACCTGATTTGAAATATCATGTGAAACAAACCTGAAGTGAAATTTCATAATATCTCTGCTTCAAGAGTGAATGCCTGAGGTATCAATGACATGTGCAAGTTTCAGGAGCTTATAATTTTTACAGGTTAAATACACTCAAGGGGGGCTTGAAAACCTTGAGCTATCAAGAAAGTATTTTGCGCAAGCACTGAAGCTGAACAACAGAAATATGAGAGCTTTGTTTGGACTTTACATGGTAAGCAGGATTGTATATTTTCCATGTTACCATTTTGAATATGTTTTTATGCATGTATATTATCCTTTACCATTTGCTGTTTGGTTTTTTTTTTTTCTTTTGGTTCAACTTAATAGCTCAGATTATTAACACTGTTTTTAAATACTGAATATGGACAATTTTATGCCAGTAAGTACTCCTTACTTGAAGCGCTCTTAACTGTTAAGTCTTGCCCATGTTTTCCAAAGAATTATAATTATTGGCACATGAAGGTAACTTCTTGAAAAAGGATTTAAAGTCATACTCCTTTCTACAGGATGGTGAACTGCTGAAGAGTACCAGCACAGAACGATGGCTGCTCTTTTTCTTTTTTTTTTTCCCCTTTTTTTTTTTCTCACTCTGGTTTCTAAATACAACTCTCTACTTTCAATTTCAAAATGAGTCTTTAGCTTGCACAGCTTTGTTGGCCTGAGTGTGGCCATGGCTACAGTAACTACGGGTAGCATGTACTGGCACCAGTTTTTCAGTTTCTCGAAAGATACTGAGGCCTCTATTGAAGATCTTCTTTTAGATCTTAGATCTTTTAAAAGATCTTTTTAGGGACAAAACCAGAAAGGTTCTTTTTTAAATTCTAGGCCACCCTTTTGTCTCTTGGGAGGGGGGCAGTTTACAGAGACGCATCAGGCAGATAACTTTGAGGCTTCCTATAAATACCAGGCAATAGGAACTTCCTTTCAAGGACTTGTTAGGCATCACCTTTAAGACTCAAAGCAACTTGGACCTAATCATCTTAGCCCATCTGCAGAGATTCTTGGGTTGGTGAGTGTATGTTCAAGGAGAAAAGCTGGCTTCTTGCTGTTCCTTAGGTCATTTAGCTTTTTAGGAGTAAGTTTTGTAGCAAATCTGTTTATTGGCTTAAATGATTTTTAAGGTGTGTATACATATAGACTTCTGCACTGATTCTAGAACAGGCCTGGGGGTTTATTATGGCCAATCTTGGCTTGTCCTCTGTCAGATCTTACATCCTGCCTGTTATTTTCAGTCTGTAAAGTGGAATTAGAACCTGTTATCTGATGGGCAACCTTGAGCTAATATGACCCAAGCGTTTGAGAAGCTTTTTGTTTTGGCAGTGCCTGAAAGTCATGCGCATAAGCCCTGATTTGCATAATGCAAGTTCATTACTGCAAAAAATTTGTGTACGCTGTTTCAGTTCTTCAGTTTTGCTTGGCTGGCTGCTGTGACATTTCACTAGGTAGTTTCTGCGAGAACAGCTTGCTGTTGCTGCTTCTGTATCTACCCTTTGGCTCCTAATTTCTTTGTAATGCTGTTTCCAGGCTTTAGGATCTGGTTTTGCTGTGGTTGCTGCTTTTGTAATTGACAGACATGCCCAGCGTTTGTAGTCCCCAAAGAACATCCATAACCCTGGTAAATTCTCTACAAAGGCTTTCAGCTGTATCTGCTGAGGAGACTGGTCAGTACTTCACTGAATTCAGGAAACCGGAGAGAATGATGCCTTGTCTTAGGACTGTGACCCTGTACTAGATCACAAATTCAATTCATGCGGGCATGGCTTTGGAGAATGTGTTCCTGAGTTTGTGGAGGCTAACTTTGGCAGTCCCACTCCTCTCCCATTTCTGGAGGTAGTTTCAGGGAAGTAGCTGTAAGGGAACGTTCTTTGAGTTTGAAATGTAGTATTCATGTAGACATTTGCTTCCATGCTCCTTTTTAAAATCTTCTCTGGAGGTTCTTCATTGATGGGTGAGAGTAGGGTTCTGTGGTTCTTTGCATTCAAGTACCTTTGCACTCAGAAAGATGTTGTGGGAGGGAATAGCAATGATTCCTTGCGAAGTGGGTTTATTTGATAAGTGGAGAAGTCTCTGAGCTGAGTTCAGTTCTAAAGTAATCTTTTTCATTTTTTCAGATGAAGATGGGCCTAGTTTATGTGCAGGCTCTTACCTGCTTTTAAAATTTGTTTTCTGATGCCACAGGGAAAAATGCCATATTTTTAATGACAGTTTGGACATACAAGTGATGTATTTTTTATTGTCTCTGGTAACAAATTGGATGGGAAAAACTTAACTCATAACTCTCACTTTAGGGAAAAGCAAATTGGATTAACTGATCATGTCCAGTTTCCTAACTCGGTACACAACTGAACTGAAGTCTGCTTTAGCTTTAATTAGAACAAACAATTGTTTAAAAAGTTTAGCTAATTCTTAATTGGATGCTGTTCACCAGTAACTGTTCTTATTTTTTCTCTTTTTCTGCTATCACTGTGCGTGGGGCTCTGAATGCAAAGGTGCTTAATGCTCTCAGTTTATTTCATGCACGTATATTTTACAGTTACACTGCTTTTATTTTTTTATTCCTAGTCTGCCAGCCATATTGCTTCCAATCCAAAAGCAAGTGCAAAAATGAAAAAAGATAATATGAAATATGCCAGCTGGGCAGCTAACCAAATAAACAGAGCATACCAGGTTAGTACATCATTGTTTTCTGATACTTTTAACAGCCTCTGTAGTTCTTTTCTGCACTTTTATCAACTGCTGTTCAAGAGGCTAGATACAACGTGTAAATCAGCATAATTTGCTTGTATTTTTTGCATTCTACTTCTGTTTTATTTCCTGGAAGCCTTAATTAATATAAGGTTGATATTTTACAGTTATTAATTACTATTATTTACTTATTAGCTTTAAACAGATTTTCTTCTACTAACATTAACTGAATGTACGCTCGTGTAATGTTGACCTCCAAGGCTCAGTTCTACAGCTAAGTATTTTAACAAAACTTGGTATGTCTTAATTCTTAGAGTGACTTGGTCATCTGCTTCTATTTTACTAGAAAACAAATGAAAATTCTAGAATTTTATTTGCTTTCAGTTTATTCTGGCCTTTCAAAATCATATTTAACGGTATTCCTAATAATTACCTTAGTAATTGTGACTGAAGTTGGTTTTGCGTAGTTTTATAGAAAAATGCCTGTTGAATTGTGAAAATGTAGACTTTGTAGGCCACAGACAAAGCTTACTGAAGTCATTAGGAGTCTTTTCAGCTATTTGAAAAGTTATGCATAAAAACCTATATTTGCTTTTGTATTATAAGCCTCTGTATTTTTTCTATAACTGTGAATGAAAACAGGTTTTAGCTCGTAAGTTCTGCAATCCGTGCATCCCAAACATAGTATGTCTATTTGACTCCCTTATAGCTATTCTTAATGATTTACCGATCAGAGTTTATGGATAAGTAATCCTGAACATCAACATCATACTGTCCAGTTCTCCCCAGAACTTTTTCTGAGCAAAAATGTTGGTATTAAATGCAAAGACTTCATATACATGTAACACTCCTTTCTTTCTGTAATATTTCAGTGTCACAACCCAATATTTAATTTTTCTCTTGCTGCTGGTGTTTCACAGTTAATACTACCAAATGGCCTTTTGACCAGCTCCATTTATTATGGAATTAAATTAGGATTTTCTTTTATGGCCAATGCAGTTTTCTTAACACACTGTATTTCAGTTCATTGCCAAGAGCGCAGCTTCTTGGGGCTGACATGTTTTTGATGTATTACAACTTCGAAGTATTTTCCATTTCCCCTGATTGGCCCTGTAACTTCTGACTGTACTTTACAGTGAAGAAAATTGTATCCCTAAGGACATAATTAAGCATTTTATACTTGTGTGCTTAAAGTTTCTTACTCTGTTCTGCTGTTTAAATGACTCCCTGCTTTTCATTAATAAACCATTTATGTGTTCATGACAGTAAGCTGTGTATGAATTACCAACTTTGTCTGATTTCCCATAAATAAGCAGGACTTCTTTTGACTTCAGTATGTCTGACATTCCTGTAATCACAACATTGATAGAAAACCCAAGTATTGCAGGATTTAAAAAAAAACAAAACCAAAAAAACCCTTGAAGAACAGAATACACAGTGGATTCACCACTGATAGAACAAAACAGGTTTTTAAAAGATGTGTGAATTTTGAGTGAAAACCATTATTCCATGTTTTACATCTTAATAAAATGAACTGCTTATATTAGAGGCGGTTTGAACACATGTTTTAAGTGAATATTACGACTGAAGTTTCCAGCTCAAAGCACCAGTAGAGAGCTGTTAGCACTTCTGGGAAACAGCCCGTTTCAGGGTGCATCAGGATGGAAATGTAAAACCAGTGTTGGCTGTGGAACGGTGGCGTACCAAGATTACGACCTAGAAATAGGCATCTCCTGGTTCTAAATATAATGAAAGTTTAATTATGACAATTTGTAGTTACTTGACGCACAGCCAGATAAGCTTGCCTTTTTTTTTTATTTGGTTGGTTTTTTTGTCTCTCCGCATGGCTTTCTGTTAACATCACAGTATCTCTAACAAAATATGACTTGTATTGGGAGTGCTGGTGGTG